TTGCTTGTCCACTGCACAGATGGTGATAAGTCAGAATAAGTATAAGAGTATAGAGAGATACAAAATAAAAGATAATTATTGTTACCCAGGGGCAATTTCAAAAGCCGGCAATTAGGTTTGTGATGAGTCGCGAGAGGAAGAACGAGTAATCTCCTGGTCAATTGAGTCAACAAAGTTAAGTGGTAAGTAAATAAGACCCGCCGACAGGTGAAAAGAGTTTAAAGTTAAAGAACCTCGTTTTGATGTTTTCGAGGAGCGGGAATGTTCGGTAAGCCGGAGGACAACTCTTCACCTCCACTGGTTCGGGTCTGACGACGATTCTCGTGTTGTTGTTTCTTCAAAAGAAAGTGAGGATCTAAATAAGCCAAGGTGTGTGAAAACCTTACTTTTCAGGTTACTTGTCGAAGTTTTTGTCTTGGCAAAGTTTCTGAGCCAGAGAAAATAATAGTTACATCTTCTTCAGCTGCTTGGCTGGCTCCCGTGTCATCCTAATAATAGTCAGTGCCAATAAGATGGCTGAAAAACGAGCCAAGAGAGTCAAGGGCTACCTCCGAGTCAGAGGTGTCATCCAGATTAAGTAGATCAGAGGCGCTTGGTTTCTTCTTTATCTTGGTTGTCTTCTTGGCGGCTTTCTTGGCAGCCCTGGCCTTCTTGGCAGCTTCATGACCATACTTATTTTTTCCAAAAGTCAGAATTAGCCTGAAAAGGTCATCCGAGGTTGAGTTAATAAAGTATTTTAGTAATGAGATAAAGGTAAGTAAATTCAGAGACTCACGTCCGGTGGCAGGTTAAGCTTGCAGAAAAGGTTCAGACCCACTTTAATGATATCTTCTGGATCTTCATTCAGAAGGGAATTAACCATTTCGTTAACCGCCTCGTCAGTTAATGGAGCAGAGCTATGGCGCAGTGGATCTTTTACACCACTAGTGTAAGTGCACATTAAGCCAGTGCGGCAACTTAAGGGTATGATCCGCCTAGAAACCCAGCACCTGACCAAATCAATGCGAGTTAACCCGTTTCCTAGCAGAGCTCTAACCTTTGCAATGGTAGGAGCAATTTTTGCCCGTTCGGCAGTGGTAAGTTTTTCAGGAAGATTGTGCTTTGGGTCCAGGCGCTCGACATGGTAACCCACCAGTGGATTCTCGTCAGCTGGAGAGGTGTCTTTGTAGTAAAACCACGTCTGATTCCAATCCTTGGGGTGACTCGGCATACAGGCATAAGGGAAGATGGCATCTCTTCTGCATTGAATCGAGATTCTGCCAAGTTCCAAGCTGGGCCCGTTCGTAAACTCATTTTGGTGGTTCAAGTAAAAATATTCTCTAAAGAGATCGACGATGGGCTCCTCTTGAAGGTATACTTCGCAGAAGACTTGAAAATTGCAGATATTTGACACGGAATTGGGTCCAATGTCTCGAGGATGAAGTTGGAAGAAGTGCAGAACATCTCGAAAAAACTTAGAACCGGGTGGTGAGAAGCCTCTGTTCATGTGATCAGTGAATATAATAACTTCGCCATCTTTTGGTTGAGGTCTTTCTTCGCCAGGTTCAGGGGCACGATAATGCATAACACTCTTTGTGGGCAGGTACCCGATTTTGATAAAATCTTTGACTGAGCCCTCGGTGACGACGGAGGGAACCCAATTGCATGTATAGACGTTCTTTGGCGGCATTGTGAAGAGAGAAAGCCTAAAGGAAGGGAAATTTTGCCGGTTTAAATCAGTTGGGGAAATCACAAGTTAGAAGTTACAGTATATACTCAGAATGGCAGCTTAAGTGAGGACTAATGATATATGAGTAATTTTAAACCGGACATGTAAGCCACTATGACACGTATTGGTATTCAAGATCTGACAAAAGCAAAGTTTTACTAAGTGTTGGGACAAACATGTTTCACAGATTGAAGCTATAAGTTTGGATCTGCAACTATTCAGAAAAATGGAATAAAATTTGAACCTAAGGTGGCGGCAGCAGAAGAGTGGGAGTGCTCAGATGAGATCTATTGCAAAGAAGATATAGTCTGATATCAAAAAATAAGTGCTAAAACTGCTACTACGCGAGTTCTATGCTATTTTCAGATCAAAACTATGCGATCTAGGACGGAGAAAGGGAAGAACGGTGATTAACATCGATGAACAGAGAAACCCTAACACAGATTGATCTATGAAGGGGAAAGACAAAGACTTACTGACAATGGATAACAGCGGAGGAGCGGCGCGGCCGGAGTCGATGAAGGAGATGAAGGTTGACGGCGGCGGAGATCGGGCGCACTGGAGCATCGCGAGGAGGAAGAAGGAGAGAAGGCAAAGGGGGAGAATGGAAAGTGAACCCGCAGCCCTATTTATAAGGCTGAAGGGATAAGTGGCATGCGCGGGAATCGAGGAGACGGGAAAATGGATATGTGGTGGTGCGGGCGCCTTGATTTTCGGAGGGTTAGTAAAGAAAAAGATTTAATTAAGATTTGGGCTGTGCGTAGTACTAAATTACAGGTGATGTCACGGCGGGTTACCGTAATTCCCGGAGATGATGTCATGGCGGGTTACAATATTTCATAGGAAGGTGAAGAAGGATTTTCCTAAGTGATGAAGATTGACATGAACAAGTTCAAATCAATCTGGGGCCTAATGTTGGGGATATAACTATTGGGTATGACCCGCCCAGGAGGGGCCGGGTTATCCCAATGGCGGTTCATCTAGACGAATCCCATGGGTATGTGAAGATGGCAGTTCATGAAGTATGTCTGTTAAGGGGCCCAAACCGAGAGGTGGCTTAAGGCCCGTGAGTATAAATCGCCATGCATATGTAACTTGTATTATAAGGCATCTAAGATAAGTCACCGAGCCGGACACGTTTGTATGAGCCGTCCGGGACTCTGTAGGCCGCAGGGCATCAACCCATGTATATAAGGGGACGGCCCGGCAGTGGCTTAGGGCAAGAAACAACAAGTCGAAAATCAGGCAAAGCATATTCGCTCCCTGGTAATCGAAATCTTATCAATACCACCTCAAACTGGAGTAGGCTTTTACCTTCACCGCAAGGGGTCGAACCAGTATAAACTCTCCATGTCCTTTGTCCCGTTAACCCCTTTAAGCTAACCTCGTCGCAATGGCTCCACAACTAAGTCCTTCTACGAGGACATCTGTCGTGACAATTCCACGACAATATCCGTCGCAGACAAACCTCCGCACGCCTTCCGATGACGCTTGAAACATCACCGGGACGGGGGCTAGATGGGGAGGAACTTATTTCATTTTCAAGAAGTATCCACCGCCTCGTCTTTCTTGAGCATGGCACAACCCCGAAATAAAACTCCGAAAAGCACCTAAAAACGGAGCCCTCCTGCCGGCAAGTAGGGCTGCAAGAAAAGCTCGAGACTCGTGAGCCGCTCGAGATTGACTCGTATTTTAGCTCGGCTCGAGATCGACTCAAAAATAATTGAGCTGAGTATGAACACTTTATGTAGCTCGATCGAGAAACTAGCCGATCTTGAGTCAGCATTGGCTCGCTCCATTTTAGCTTGATAGCTCGATATCATATAAGTATATTAAATAACCTTCATTCCAATCTCCAAGAATTAGGATCATTCATTTCCATATATGTTTTATACAATTTTTTTCTTCACTTTACCTACTAGCAAACATGGAAATTAAGCATGGAGAAAATTTATTCTCATCACTTGGCCAACCGTGTGTTCAATATCTTGTTATTTTGGTCAAAGCTTGAGAGCTGGCGCATCTTCGTCGCCTTCCATCCATGATCTCTTGTTATTAAATACTAATCTTCACTTGAGAAAGAATAAGTCGAATTTATAGTGATTTTTCTGTTCTGTTGTGGCCTATCTAGCTTTAAAATTTGCCATAAAATGATTTAAAAAATCATCTTATGTAGCTCGAAACTAGCTCGAGATCGTTACAAGTTGAGCATGAGCCACTTTCTGCAGCTCGACCTTGAGCTTCGCACATTTTGAGCTTGCTCGAATTTTAGTACGAGTTGAGCTGAGCCTAGACCAACCCGCTCGAACTCGACTCGTTTGCAGCCCTACCGGTAAGGCCCGGGGTCCACCACGCCACCATGGTCCAAGGACCATAGGAGAGGAGGCGACGCCGACGAGAGGCAGGGAACCCTAGATGAGTTCACACGAGGGCACAAGGACGGGTGCACGAGGGCTTCTCATTTTTGATTGACTTACCGAATAAAGTTATGTTTTCTTTGGCAAGATAATAAATTCTTACCAAATAAGTGATTACCAAATAAAATTCTAAAATTTATTTAGGTAAGTAAATCACAGGCATGATTTGATAAATAATTATTTAAACAATCACACTAATATGAAATGTAATTATGGGGAAGACGGGGCGTCGACCCGTTGCCAGCCCACCGGAGTTCAAACCCCGGCTTTGACGCGCAGTGCTCGCGGAGTTTTTTTTATAAAAAAAAGCCAACGAAGGTTAGCCCTTGGGTTGGTCTCATTTTTCTAAAAGTAATTATGAGCTAACATATTATAAAATATTTATGCTTCACCCCGTTACAACGCGTGGGCAATTATCCGGTAATAGGAAGAAAACCATAGTAGAATGAAGTAGAGGGTCTGTCTAGGACACATCTAGTTATGTAACATCTAAGCTGATTTTCACTCTGTTTGTGGTCTATTTTTTTTTGTCCTATTTTTTTTTTGTTTTGTTGATACATTATATACTTGTGGGAGTTTAGATGTGACATCCTTAAAAAACATCTAGATATGAATTAGACAAACTGAATGAGGTAAACGCATCAGAAAAATGAGACTACGCTATATATTTGCAACGAGGCTAATAGATGATCTACTAGAATTGTCATTATTCCATTTAAAAAACAAAGAAGACAGTATGTGACTGATCCATGCTCAATGTCTAACTGAGCTCTGGGATATGTGTAGTCAACCACCCACAGATACAGAGTACTCCACAGATCCATTATCATTTGGAGGGAAAATCTCTTGCTTGCGCTAAACACGTAACACGAACTTCATATGACGTAGTCCGACCACCTCTGCTCCATGGTCACCCCTGGTTGCTCCTCTGGCCGGAGCGACGGCGCCGCCTTCTTCCCGATCGGCTTCGCCGGGTTTCCGACGGCCGTGGTTCCACACGCCACGTCCCTAAGCACGACCGCGCCCGCCCCGATCTTCGCTCCGGCGCCGATGCGCACATTGCCCAGCACGCTGGCCCCGGCGCCGATGAGGACCCCGTCGCCGACCTTGGGGTGCCGGTCGCCGCAAGCCTTCCCCGTGCCGCCCAGCGTCACGCCGTGCAGGATAGACACGTCGTCGCCGATGACCGCCGTCTCGCCGATGACGACCCCCGTGGCGTGGTCGAGCAGGATGCCCCCGCCAATGCGCGCCCCGGGGTGGATGTCGACGCCGAACACCTCGGAGGCGCGGCTCTGGAGGAGCAGCGCCGGCGGGCGGCGGCCCTCGGACCAGAGCGCGTGCGCGGCGCGGTGGGCCTGCAGGGCGAGGAAGCCCTTGTAGTAGAGGAAGCAGTGGACCATCTTGGCGCAGGCCGGGTCGCGGTCCCGCGCCGCGAGGAGGTCGGCGCGCGTGTGCTGGCTCGCCTCCGGGTGCGCGGCCAGCGCGCCCGCGAGGATGTCCCGGAGCGCGTCCCGCGGCAGCGCGCCCGGGATGCAGAGCTTGGCGGACAGGTGCGCGGCGAGGGCGGCCTCCAGCGTCGGGTGCGAGAGGACGAGCTCGGAGTAGAACATGCCCAGCAGCGGCTCGTCCTGCGCGTCGGCCTGCGCCTCGCCGTACAGCTCCTCCCAGACCTCGTCGCCGCCGTTGCAGCAGCCGCCGTTCCCGCTCACGGGCGCGCCCGCCGGTGCGGCGACGGTGCAGTCCGGCAGGAAGCGGTAGATGGATCGGGAGATGCGGTGGCAGGAGTATGCTGGGTTCCACTTGTCGACGCAGGCCGCCATTGCCGACCACGCGCTGCTAGAGAGAGAAAGAGAGACGGTGCTGCGGTGCGCTGGAGAGAGAGAGAGAGAGAGAGAGAGAGAGAGAGAGAGAGAGAGAGGTGTAGGCGACCGGAGGTGTGGCGGAGCTGAAGAAGAAACGGGTGTTCGGCCACCTATATATACGTGTCCGTGGAGGGAGGAGGAAGAAGCAGAGGAAGCCGCAGGGAAGAAGGCAGGAGCAACAGATGGCGTCAGGGAACGAAGGCCGTGGCGAGTCACCTGGCCGCTGGTGCCGTTAGCCACTGACCACCACCGTCAGCATGTGCCTCACTGCTTATCTCCGCCCACGCCACTTAATTTCTCGACCGACGTGGAGAAGAGGGGAACCCGACCCGAGCATATGCCACAGGGATATGATATGGTGCACCAAATTGTCACCCTAGCTAGTAGGAGCCGTGGCGCGCAACAGAAGATTCCGAGCGAAAGTAACTGTCACCCCTGGGAATCAATCCTTCGAAAGGCGCAGACCGAAATGCCGATCCACGGCTGAGCTAGAAACGGGCGCTTGGCTACGCGAAGCGACACGCGCGGCGTACCGACACGCCGGTGCCCGTCAGTCCGCCGTTTTCACCAGAAGCACTACCGTGCCGGCAAACCAAATCATATCTCGCCGCGAAAGGACGGGTGAAAACGCGGCGAGCGGGCCGGTCCCTCGGACAGGGACGGCACGGGGAGCAGAAGATTTCCCCGGCGAGGATAGCACGGCAACTTGGCGAGCCTCTCCGGCGCGGACGGCTCCACCACGCACGCACGGCCCTGCGGCTCGTGTGGCTACGAGCGATATCTGCGCGGGGCGCGGCGGCGTGCGGCGTGCGCGTGGAGTCACGTCGGGCGGCAAGTGGGTTCCGTGGGAATGTATGTTTGTTGCCCGGGCCGATCCGTGGCCGCTGGTGCCTCCTTTCCGCGGCGACCACTCGAACGAGATCCGTGGCGCAACATAGATACGCGCGCTGTGGCGCCACGCCACACCACACCACCCATGGATCATGGATGCCGTCCCGCTGCAAGCTAGCCCCCTTCCAACGCATGGACGCTGCTTTTGCCGCAAAAACGACACTTTTGTTTCGTCAACCCGTCGTCTACTGTGATTCTCCCCGTGCAATTTTGGCCGCAAAGTTTGCGATAAATCATGGGCAAATGTGAAGCCAGATTTTTCTGGTGCACATGGGGGGAGGTTTACCTGGTACTTTCGCTCTTAATTAGCAGGACACCACGAGAGCAAGCACCAAGGGAGATGGACACCACGAGAGCAAGCACCAAGGGAGATGGACACCTTGAGTCAAACTAGAACTAGTGATTTGGCATCTCTTTTTTTTAGCTGATGATTTGGGAATAGTATAGTGATTCGCGGGGATTCGTTACGCGCGGTGCGTACTGCGGACCGCGAGGAGGGCCATGGCGGGAGCCGCAGAGGATCCCATGGGTGACGTTTGGAGTGACGGACAGTGGCGAAGTCGCCGGGTGCAGGTGCCTTGACTTGTTCTACCAGCAAAATTATGGGGAGCAGACACACATGGGATCTTGAACTTTGACCCAGGTCCTCAGGCTGAGGCTCGGCCTCGGCTCCTTGAGAGGCAAGGCAAAACATGGAGAGGTTGCCACTTATTGGAGGAATCACTTGGGCGAAATCCAAAAGGTGATGATGCAAGGACATACGTGGGCGTGGGGATTGGGGAGCTCAGGAAGAATTGGATGTGAGGCGAGGTGAGATTGTGAGTGAAAAAGGACATATCTAATCGATCCTTAAAAATACTTAAAAATAGTGGAGCATCCGGTGAAGTAAATCTTTAGACCAACTCCAACGCACGATCCCAAACGGACGTCCGTTTTGTCCGGATTTCGTCCGTTTCAGGGTGGGGATGAGGCCGTGTCCGTCCGGATTTGGGTTTGCGTCGGCCGGGCGCCCAATCTTCGGCCCCATCTCGTCTGCAGATTTTTTTTCTCATTTTCTTATTAATTTTACCAACATTTTTTATGATACATTGGAATACATTCACCAAATCTTGACTAGAATAACAAGCCCTAAGAAAACTAGAAATACAAGAAAGCATTTTAAAATATATCCAACTTCTATAACTGCTCTTGTATGTTGGATTAGTGCCTTCTGGATGCATTTGTTGTTGATCTGCGGAGTCTCGATCTTGAATGCTTCTTTCTTCTTCGCGCCTAAAGAAGTAGACGTGGCTTCCACATATCTACTCTCATCTCTAACCTCTACTCTAGCAAGAAGTGCACGAACATCTATTAAATTGATGAAATATTTGATTGTAAAACTGTTTGCTACAAGCTCTGTCCACGGATATCTCAGAATACTGTCCTTTGCATCTCACCTTGGAGGAGCACATTCCCACTACGAGGCGTTTTAGGTTTGAGATATTTTGGACCAAGATGGATGGCTTTGAGGACGCGGTTAGGGAGGCCTGGAGGTGTGATCCCAGCGTCACGGAACCCTACAAGCGGCTAGATGAACTGTTCAGGAATACTGCGAAATTCCTGACGGCTTGGGGTCAGAGGAAGATTGGGAATGTCAAGATACAGATGGCGATAGCTCGTTTGGTCATCAAACTTTTGGACAGGGCAATGGACAAAAGGTTGTTGTCTGTGGGAGAGAGATGGCTACGAGGTACTCTCAAGCGGACGTTGTTGGGTCTTGCCTCTTTGGAGAGGACGATCGAGAGACAGCGGTCCCGTATCAGATGGCTCAAGGAGGGCGATGCTAACACACATTTCTTTCAACTCTTTGCAAATGGGAGGAAGGCCAAAAATCACATACCAACGATCTCCTATGGTGGCCATATCATTACTGACCAGAAGGGGAAAGAGGAGGCCTTCCACCAGGCCTATGAGGACCTTCTGGGCAGAGCCCGAGCAAGGGATGTCACCCTGGATATGCAGTTCCTGAATATGGAATCCCTTGATCTTTCGGACCAAGATGTCATATTTTCAGAGGAGGAAATCTGGGATGCTATCAAAGCCATGCCAGGGGACAGGGCACCAGGACCTGACGGATTCATTGGTCTATTTTTCCACAAAGCTTGGGCTATCATCAAAAATGATGTTGTTGTAGCCATTCACAAGTTCTTGCTTGGCGATGGGAGAGGGTTTGGCAGGCTGAACAAGGCATTGATCACTCTTATCCCGAAAAAACCGGATGCCTCGGAGATTGGGGACTTTAGGCCAATTAGCCTGCTACATAGTATACCCAAAATCAGTGCTAAATTGTTAGCGGGCAAGTTGAGTAGTCGGATGGGAGAGCTGGTGCACATGAATCAATCTGCGTTCATTAAGGGCAGATGCATCCATGATAATTTCATGCTGGTGCGCCAAGTGGTGAGGAACTTGCACAAGAGGACAGCTAAAGGCGTCCTAGTTATGATGGATATCTCGAGAGCATTCGATTCACTCTCTTGGCCTTTTCTCTTTGAGGTGCTCCGTGCTAAGGGATTTTCGGCGCGATGGAGAGAGCTCATTGCTACGCTGCTTTCAACGACAAGTTCAAGAGTGATAGTAAATGGCAGTGTGGGAGCAAAAAATATGCACGCTTGTGGTCTGAGGCAGGGCGATCCAATTTCGCCACTCCTTTTCGTGATTGCTATGGATGCGCTCTCGGCCCTTATCATTCGTGCTCAGCAATTGGGAGTGCTTAGTCCGATGCCCAGGTGTTCGCCGCTACATCGGTTATCTATCTATGTGGACGATGTGGTCCTTTTTATCAGGCCGACTGCATTGGATCTGGCCTTTGTGAAGGAGGGGATGCATATCTTTGGGGAAGCATCGGGTCTGAAAATCAACTACCAAAAATCTTCGACGATTCTTATTAGACCTGGAGAGGGCGACAAGGAGAGGGTTGCAGCGGCCCTGCCTTGGAAGATTCAGTGCTTCCCGTGCAAATATCTTGGGCTACAACTTTCTATCAAGCAGCTTACACATAATCAATGGCAGCCGCAGGTAGATGGGTGCTAAACTTCTTGCCAGGATGGATGAGAGGTATGATTACCAGGCCAGGCAGACTAATTCTTGTCAACAGCGTGGTGAGGGCGCGGCCAATTCACCATCTGATTGTGGCAGATGCGCCGAAATGGGTGCTGGATAGCATTGACAGAGGTTGTAAGGCTTTCTTTTGGGCTGGCTCGGAAGAGATACATGGGGGCAAATGTTTGGTGGCTTGGAAGAGGGTCTGTAGACCGAAGGAGCTGGGAGGGTTGGGCGTCATTGATCTTAGAACACAGGGGATCGCTCTTCGTCTTAGATGGGAATGGCTCAGGCGTACAGATCCCTCAAAACCGTGCCAGGGCCTGGCCATGTCCGTTGACAAGGAGATGCAAATGGCTTTTGCAAGTTTGGTTCATTGGAAAATTGGAGATGGGAACCGAGTGCTCTTCTGGAAGGATAGATGGGTTAGTGGATTGAGGATTGCCGAGATTGCTCCGCTGGTGTTCGGGAAGGTAAGGACTCAGACAGTTAACAGGAGAACGGCGAGGGAGGGACTCCTCTTAAGCAATTGGATCAATGATATTAAAGGGGAGCTATCCACCGAAGGATTGGTGCAGTTCATACGTCTCTGGGAGATACTCAGCGAGCTAATCTTGGACGCTAGTGTGGGAGATCAGGCAATCTGGAAGTGGACTGCCTCGGGCCAATACTCGGCGGGCTCGGCCTACCGGATCATGAATGAGGGGGCCATCATTTTTGGCTGTGCGAAGGGACTGTGGAAGTGCTGGGCCCCCTGGCATGCCGTTTATTCATGTGGTTGGCGTTGCAGCGTAGACTATGGCCATCGGATAGAAGGTTTCGACATGGATTGCAAGATGCCACTTCGGTCTGTTATCTGTGTGATCAGGAAGAGGATTCTGTTGAGCATATTATGCTGCAGTGTGTCTATTCGAGGCAAGTGTGGTTCCAATGTTTCAGGTGGGCCAACTTAGATATGCAGCTTCTACCTTTGGTGTCTGAGCAGCTGC